ACTAGGTTAAAATAAGCCGATAGACGTTTAAGACAGCCACTCAGTTGAAGACGGCTTACTAACTAGCTGTTTAAGTGACTGAGACCAGTGATGGTGATTACTAAAACATGTTGGTGATGTGACCTTCAGGGGTTCGAACCCGGCTCCATCGAATTCAATCCGGCCAACCGAGTAGTACTATAAGCTTACACAATTCATATGGTGCATTGTGTATATACACACAGGAACTGGGTTGAATTGCATTGTTTACTGAGAGGATGAGGCACATAACGTTCAAGTCATACAATCGAATAATGTATCACTTCATGAATCACTCTACTGATTCATGCTAATTGTCAGAATATCCGATGAGTTCCCAGTGTTTTCAATCTAATAGTAAGGTGAGGAGTCACTCAACATGCTGTGGGTTTTAACTGATTTGATCAATTATTAGTGATCTATGATAACGTGACAAAACAGCTAAGTTATAAAACATCAAATCTCTGATAAAAGTTTTGACTTCCTTCATAGTACGCAAACACACACACACATATGAGACTACATTACTACTAGTGATTGTTGGTCTTATTGGGATCAGTGTTTTCATATTTACCTAAATTCCTATATTGCGATAATCTAACCCGCCGCAGACGGCTAGTTTGACCTACATACTTTACTTCGCAGTGGTTACATGGAATTTGGTAAACTAAGATTATGTTGCCTAATTGGTTTGATCAGATCCTCAAACTGATAAAGCTCATATCTGAGTTATTATTATTATTAGAACACAAACATGGTACATCAAAGGACACCAAAACATCCATCACACATAATGATATAACAACATCATGAAGATATAAAGTGAAGAAAAGTGGACAAGGAAGGAAGAAAAACACAGTGAGAATAGAATGATTAGAAAGGTAGTCAAGTAAGGTATATTCGAAACGAAACATTCGTTAGTTTTCAGCAGCAGAAGATAGAAGGAAGCTGCAGCATGACCGCCAATGGTTCCCATTCTCAGACATATCTCATAACGTCTCAACTCACTGAGTTGCGTGATCTCTCGCAACCGACCCACAGAGTCGTGATGTACCAACAGATGCTAACCTGATACAACTACCCTCCATCCCATGACGCCACGTCATACACCGACCACTCACTCTGTCTCTCCCATCCAGTCCTAGGGTTAGCAAACAATGAACGGTGTGAAAGCCAGTGTTTCCAGAAGACTTCACTTATTGACTGACGATCTCCATTGTGCCGAAGCACATAGTGTCGTACTCCAGAACTACTTACATGATGTTACCATTAGATACGAGCAATCCTCCGAAGACAACGATGATCGAACACACAGAATCATCCCACATCCTCAGAGCTCGGATCCAGTATTTTTTTTATTCATAACATTTTGAGCATAAATGATTATTGTTCATAATTATATCACATTACATTCGAAATCTGCCGTTTATAGTCCTATCACCAATTCGTATTCTTTGTTTTCATTCGGTAGTAAATTTTTTTATCTCTGGTATGCATAGGTGTTGCATCATTCCTATTACATGTGATTGATGGGTGCTGATTCGATGAACAAACATTCATTAATCGATCTCTCTCTCCTCTCTCTCTCTCTCTCCACCTAATTATATTGGACTTGAGCACTGTAGTTTTATCCAACCTTATTGTGTGGTCATGGCTTGCATAGGTGGGCCGTTTTTTGTAGGTAATTGATCCTATTTCGAATAATTATTGTCATTAAATAATACTGAAATGAAATAGAAACCTTATTTATGATCGTTGTTTACTAGGGCGATACAGCAGCAGAGATCCTAAAGAATCGACTGTGCAAATCGTTGAAAAAGAAATTCTTCTCTGCAAAGCTACAGATCAGCTTCTCTAGTCAGCAATTGGATAAGTTGCAGCTATAGGTCACTTCATTGTATGTCAACAAATTTACTTGCTTCAATGGAGCTGGTTATATAGGCCGCACAAAGCGCTTACTTTCCAAATGTATCTTTAGAGCACTATCCTGCATAGTTATTGAGGGGAGAATGTAAATCAATTAACAGTTCAATTCTTGAACATTTGTTCAGCTCTGGACACAGGCAGCTCGACCAGAATCCTCCTTCAATTTCATTTATCGAGTCAAATTAGAATAGTTCAAAAGGAGTTCGCTTTCGATAGTTGTCCACTACAAAAAAAGCACTAGCAAGTCATCAATTCATACCTGATCTCTGTGTACAAAAAAGGGTATGTTCAATCTCTTATATTACCATGGTCTTAACACTTTGACAATCTTCCTTCGATTTCCTTATAATTAGTTAGTTTACTGTTATTATCACCTTCATTAAGATCCTTGTCTCATTCTTCACCTTCTTTACATCTATCTACCAAATGGACACATAATATACACCAGCTTTCACCCTTGTCAAACACCTTGCTTTCCTCATTATCTCGATTGTCTAAAAGATGATTACCCAACTACTTTCCATTCTTGGTTTCGGCACTAGGTGGCTGAATGATACAATTATACTCTATTGTTTAGTAATAGACTGTTACATATTAGTGGCAAATAGGTATAAATACGATTGTACAGCTTTAGAAAATGATATCGTCGGAAAAGAAAGGACTTTCTTTGCTGATTTTATCTCTTCTTTTCTCTATCAAATAACAGTAATATGAGTAGAAAGGAGTTCGGATAACCTCTACCCTATCAGGAAGGAACATAAGAAACTTTGCGTAGAATTCTCAACAAAGCCGGAATTAGTTAGGGTGGTATTGAAACCCACACACTTAGACATGAGCTTTGTCGGCTTAAGGATCAGATAGAACAAATTAGGCAACATAATCTAATCTACCGAATTCAACTCAATGACTATGAAGTGAAGTATATGGGTCAAATTAGCCGTCCATGGTGGGATAGATTATCAGAAGAATAGAATTCAGTCAAATATTCGCATGAATCCATTAACATACAACTATACAATCTACGGTGGGTGGGTAGGTGGCAAAGTCATCATCCCTGGCTACGCTCTGATGAACTGCAGCCTAAATATTCGCTAAGAATGCGTTAAACCATCAATCGAGTGATACTCTCAACCAATTGTATTCAGTAAATATTATAGTGACAGTTGGAAACTTGAATACACAAGATCACCGAGTGGATTTCAATTCGATTCGATTTCAGCCTTGTACAGATCAAACAGACCAAATGGTATAGATCAGGCGAATCATTAAAATGGTTCAAGAAGTTACATTACACTGAAATTGATCCATCATTTCGAAATAAAATTAACAGAGCATCTATATAACGTAAATGTTAATCATTCGAGGTATCAGTTTCCTAGAATTATGGTCTAAAACATTGACTATACAGGAAGTTGACCCGTATATGACTAGATCGGGGTTTCAATTATCATCTTGCATGCATCAATCAAATTCTAAAAATCTCATCAGTCATTATTGTTTTCCTTGATTTTAAGACTGTCATCGATTTACTTTTTCTGACTATGCTGTTACAGACAGAAATCTTTGAGAAGTTTGTTTACCTTCTGAAAGCAGATTTGCCGGATTTTGTAGTTCTTCAACTTTTTTGAAACAGCTGTGAAGAAGGTACGCGGTGGTGTATATTTTTCATCAGATGCAAGACTTTCTGACCAAGAGTATCAAGGCGATATTGTTTTAAGTTAATCAAATCTCAATTAGTTGATGATCTATATTTGTCATTATGGTATTTACCTCGCATACTTTTATCAGTTGTAGTTGACCGCTAGTTGTTCAACAAAATTGAACGAAGACAAGAAAATCATATGTCTAGGAGGTTTGTGTAAGTTTTGGTCGAAGTGTAACTGTTAAAATGTGCAACTTTATATCGAAAGCCAAACGGTCAAAATATCTGTAAAATGTCCCAGTGAACCAGTTTATTCGTGTACTTTTGTTCAACACCTGTGAAAAACCTAGTTAGTTGTCTTCCAAGCTGATGATTTTCGACCCCCGTAGAAGATTGTTAACTTTCGGTGGATATACAAAGTAAGCAATTCCCAAATGAGATGCTGAATACTTTGATGTGCTGGAGGTCGTCATTTATCGGCCTCGTTGACTATGACATAAGCTACGAATGCTATCCTAGAGGCTTAGCAACAGTTCACTAATAGCTAGCCATGGGACTGATTGTAAGAAGCGTTAGAGGGTTACCAATTTACGACTTTCCGCGGTGGAATAAAGGACAGTTATGTTTAATTAGTACCAATTGCTACCTTACGGCTGTATGCTTGGGATCGGAGAGAGGTTATCCACCTTGAGAAGACAGCAGACATGACTCAAACTGGAAACTAGTAATCACTAAGCTGCACCTTTCCTCTTTCTTCTATCACCTAAAGGCAAGATGAAGGTAATGAAACCTCGATCGAATGGAAACTGTTTCTTCTTTTCTATTGCTTTTATCAATCCTTCCCTTGCCTTCGCAACCACTTTTAAGCCTTCTTTACTGTTGTTAGATTATTTTGCATACCGAATTTTTCGGCGTTTATGCTCTAAAAAGTTTTCTGTTTAAGATAAGAATTAAGAAATTGTTTTCTCACAACTCTTTATAAATTTATTTTACACTCAGGAAATATTATTACAAAAGACGAAATTCTAAGAGTTGAAAGTATTAACAATGTTATCAGCAAAACTTTGACGATATTTGAGATGTGTTACTTATCTATGAAATGTCAGTTCTTAATTCCAGGATTACCCATAGACTAGTATGGAAGATAGAGAAGAGAAATAAACTTAGTAGCCTTCTGTTCATTTGTGACGGCTAATAACACTACCTATCTGGTTGCCTAAACCACTTTAGCAAGTGGAGTGGTGCTCGAACCCGTGACCCACTTAGTTGGAAGTCAACTCCTTAAAACAATGGAGATACACCAACATCAGGAGAACTCTATTGCATACACAGGTAAAAATGCTTCGTTATTTATCAATAGAAAAAAGGTGTAGGGAGGGATGATGGGGGAAAAACTAACATCAGCAATACTTACCACAGGGTCATACAAGGCAAGTCGTTCATCATTCATTGTGAGACTGAAAAAAAAACATTGAAAAGTAAAAACAACCACATCAAAATCAGCAAACAAAACAATTATTCGATTTAAACATTTATTTATTGATTTCAGGTTGGCATTCATCATAAACTGACTGAACCATTGGGAACCTAGAAGCACTGGGCAGCCATCCGTTTCATCCTAGTCTTGGACTCCTCGGCAGTGCGCACCCATCATCCCACTAGAAATCGAACCGAGGACATTTAGGTTCCACGACCAGTATGCTACCAATGAGGCACTGGGTCGGAATCAAATGGTTCACATCCCCTACTTCAGTCAGTTCTGTCCAGTATTTCCACGTCTTCAATGATTCACTAACTGACCTCCGTCCGTGATGAATACAATTTATTTAACTGTCTTTGTAAGCAGTTATCTGATCAATCATAGATTGTTTGGAGAGTCACATAGGAGTAGTGGTTAAAAAAAAGTCGAAATCCACTCAGCAGTCTAACGCACATCCGTTAAGCCATACCTATTGTATGAGGATTAGTGAAACTGCTATCAGGCTGGTCAAACCACTTCGATAGGTGGAGCGGTGTTCGCAACCATCATCCATTCGTTGAAAGTCACCTTCCTAGACCAATGAGCCACAACTCCCACCCTCCCCACACAAGAACAGTAATGATATGATATGATATGCTAGGGAATCAAACTTAACCGTCAGACGGTAATCAGGGCTCAGTAAGTAGGAAAACAACACACCTAAGCTAAATAAGCTACCTATTTCATCTATGCGATCCAACTTTGTATGAATGCCAGCCTCCATCCCCCTTTAGAGAAGAGAAAAGTAACCTCTAAATACAGTTCATAATTCTATGAAATGTGGTAAAACAATACAACTAAAATCATACTGTCGCAACCAATAAATTTGTACTGCTGTATGAATTATAATCACAATGCTAACCACTACATATCATAGCTTACATTGACTACATGGACTGATATCAAAACAATGTCTGATTTGACTAGTATTTCGTGGATGCTTAGACACAGTCAACTTAGGTAACAAAGGTATGACATAAATCTTCGAAGTTAGAGGCAGTGAACTTGTGTGTCGTGCAGGCTATATGATTGTTGTTTTTGAGGTAAGGGAGGCTTCAGTATTATTATTCACTGATATATTTGCAATTCTCCGTCATTCTGCTGGATAGAATTGTTCGACCTATATTGCTACATGGGATGGATCGGGCATACATTGAGAAGACTATTGGGAGACATCACGCACTAGACCAGGTCCTTGAGTCGAATCCAAAGGAGAAACGACGAGTAGCGCGTCCGAGGCGAGAGTGACATGGAGGAGATCGTGTGACGAAAAAAAGAGAGCTTGTGGGTAGTCGTGGAGCCAGGTTGAAAAGACTAAAGAGAACAGAGTGAAATGTAGACGTGCTTCTAAAGCCCCATGTTTCACTAGAAACCCAAGGGACAAATAATAAAAATAATTATATTGGCACATGGGTTCCTACGCAGATACCTCGACATTGCGTGAATGTTATTTATGATAATTTGCTTGGTTGTGGCTAGCAAAGGGATCCAGGATGCGCGTTTCGTCCTGTTTGGGACTCATCAATCGGATGCACTTGCACCCCAGTGCAGTGTTGTTGTTCCCACTGGGACTCGAACCACATTCCAATCGCTTCAAAATTCAAAGTCATTATCCACAATGCCATGGAGTCTCCGTGGAAAAAACATCCCTCACTGTGGTGCAGGTGCATCCAGCTGACGAGTCCCAAATAGGATGAGAGGCTTCAGTAGTTGTTAACCCAGCGATCATGCACACACTTTATCTTCGTGTAATTTTTGGACGATTCACCAACTCCCCCCCTTCCAACTCCGTATTTATTGTTTTGTCTCCAGTGGTGTCTTACAACTTTTAATACTGGGTGGTGGTTGAAGGTGAAATATAAATTTGAATAGCGGCTGGATACAAACCAGCAAACAGTAGGATTCTGGTGAGATGCTCGACCAACTGAGCTACAAATCCCAACTGCTAACTACATTTTTAATTCACTTTATTCACCATATGTTTCGCCCGATAACTATGTGAATTCGTAATGCGTTACTACCAATTGATCGCATTCATACTTCTTTCAATCCCAATATTTATCCCACTTGTTAATTCACCTCTTTTCAGGAAATAAATGAATCGGTAAACGTGTTAATGTAAATGAAAGATGAAGAAGGAAAACAAATCGGTCAAAAGAAGTAGAAAGTAGTAAAGGAGATGAAGCAGGAATGAGAAGGTACTGAGATTAAACATAGCGGTTAATGTGGGGATAATCTGTGCGCCACTGACATCATTTCTGAGCCATATCACATAGAGTCTCCAACCACTGGTTTCTATTGTCACGTGGACTCCAACCGTCTAGTCTGCATCGCCTCACATGGCTCAAACCAACAGCCAATGACTTCACGCAGTGGTGCCATGTTTTAGTCTAACCGCCTCGAGCCTTTCCCACCTTGAGCATACCTCAGGAACATTGCACGACATGCCAGATGGTGACTAGGCATACGTAACAAGCGTCCGAGCCAGTCACCTCAGTCGACAAAGGTTCGCAGCCGCATTGACTAGCTTGCCTCTCCTACCTAAAACTCTAAATCTGACTTCTGCGTCACTCACGTGGTGACATCACGACACACAGCCTATCCTACAAACCCAACAATGGTAAAACACATGAAGCCTTCTCATGTCTTCTACCTTTAATAATCATGTTTCACAGCCGTACAGTAGAACAGAGCGGACTGCTGTGCAGTACACACAACCCCTAATAGACAATCGGATATCACGGCGGCACCACAGATGGTGGTAAGTTGGTGGAAACCAACCATCCAATCCTTTTGTATCCATGCAGAGATATCGTCGACCACTAGCCCACCAGGGCTGATCCGACTTCCCACTTTACTCTCTATTGTCAGTCAGGGTAACGTTGAAGACCAGTATGCGGTGACAACTGAAATCGATGATGGGAGACTCTAGGCGATAATGTAGATGCATCCACACATCATTTTCCTCCTTCGCTTCATCTCATAACCTTCTTCCTCGTTTCTCCATCCTTTATCTTTCAGCCTTTTACCTTGATGTGCTGATGTTAAGTGAGACAACTATGAACGTTATGCAGTAACATCACATACCGTGTTGATAATGCTCGGCCAACTAACTATCCTTCTCGGTTAACGACAAATCCAAATATGAAAACATGTGCGAATTATAGAGTTGTGGCTTATTGAATGAAGGAGTTGATTTTCAACCAATGGGACACGCTTTCAATCACCGCTTCACCTACCGAGGTGGTTTAGGCAGCCAGACCGTAGTACCATTAGCCCTTATACAACAGATGTGACTCATGGCTTACTGCACGAATCCGTGTGAGGTTGTTGAGTGGATTTCGATTTCCACACGTATGAATGGACAATTTGGTACATGAACAGACCATAAACACACAAGAGAAGCATAAATAGAATGACAATAATAACGAATTAGCTTGTGTGCAAGAAGGATAATAAAAACATATGATGACGTTCAACAACATTCTCAAAACATTCTTTTGATTGAAAAGTACAAAATATTAAACTTTGCAGTGAGGTGAACATGAACAAATTTACTGAGAGTAGTAGACCTATGGAATATAAATAGTCAGAGACTTCATGCATTGGTACCATTTCATGGTCTGGATAACCCGGAGCCTTCTACCAACTTCTCGTGGTGCACGTCAAGATAAGTGGAAGTGGCTTAGTATGTGCGACACATATCCAAGCCATGTCAGTCGCAGAAGCCTCACAATATCATCCACTGACTAGCCTAGCACCCTCCGCTTGACGTCAAAACTGCTCACACAATAAGTCTACCAAAAGCCAGCGATCTTACGAAAACACCTGTGATCGGAAACCCTGTAACTGCTTCATATCTTCTACTTTCAGCAACAGTCCCACAGGCGCATAACACAACGGGACTTTAGTTGCTTCCGTTCAGTAGTACGTACACCAATCACCCACCGGCAACCGGAAAAAGGCGTAATTGAATGAACCACAGATGTATTCTCATAGAACTCAACCGTGTAGTGCTTCGCCATAAAGCTGGAGAAAGCTGAAACACTAATACACCTAAAGCGCGTGATGGTTGTGTAGATCTACTACCCGCAATACGCCTATTCGACCTTGAATGTGCAGACGATATCGTGTGACTGGAGAATAACACACAGGCTGCTCAAGTCGCACTTACTCAGCTGGCGATTACTGTCCGTGGGCATGGTATGTGCTTTGCACCATTGAAGAGCAAATTACTCTTGCAAGACTGACAGGAGCCTGTGCCAGTGCTCACCTTTGGTGATGAGCCATCGGAAATAGTCGAAACGCTCGTGTATCTGGGTAGTTGTGTGGGTGCTGGTGGAGGTGTGAGTGGTGAAATTTCCAACCGCGGTGTCAGTCTGACCATGAAAGGTCGGGTCTACAACGCTTCGGTGCGAGTAGTACTGCTCTACAACTGTGATACTTGACCTCTCCAAGCTGGGGATGTGGGATGATTCTATGCGTTCGATCATCGTTGTCTTCGGAGGATTGCTCGTATCTAATGGTAACATCATGTAAGTAGTTCTGGAGTACGACACTATGTGCTTCGGCACAATGGAGATCGTCAGTCAATAAGTGAAGTCTTCTGGAAACACTGGCTTTCACACCGTTCATTGTTTGCTAACCCTAGGACTGGATGGGAGAGACAGAGTGAGTGGTCGGTGTATGACGTGGCGTCATGGGATGGAGGGTAGTTGTATCAGGTTAGCATCTGTTGGTACATCACGACTCTGTGGGTCGGTTGCGAGAGATCACGCAACTCAGTGAGTTGAGACGTTATGAGATATGTCTGAGAATGGGAACCATTGGCGGTCATGCTGCAGCTTCCTTCTATCTTCTGCTGCTGAAAACTAACGAATGTTTCGTTTCGAATATACCTTACTTGACTACCCTTCTAATCATTCTATTCTCACTGTG